AGAACCACTGGCAGTAAAAGTATAACTACAAACACCTGCACTGGTGGTGTCTTGTCTCCATAAAAATTTTCATAAACCTTTCATAAAACAAAACAATTATTATATTATGCAACGATAATAATACCATATGTGTATGTGCTCCCTGGGGACCTCCAGGATGAACTGTGATTCTAAGAACAGAAATTTGTTTATGTAAACAAGCCAATGAGAATGTCTTGTACATTAATACATAGCAAATGAAATGTCAGCACTAATGACTTGGACAGCCAGACAATTTAAGTCTCTAATGTCTATGTTGGCAAAAATGTGCAAAAAAAATATGAAAATCATTCATCAAACAAAATAAATGGCTGAGAGGCAACCATCTTGGATTTTATTATAACACAGATCAGCTTTTGTTATTGTACTAGAACACGATTATCTGTAAACCAAGTCTGGATCTAATTAGACTGTGTGAATTTGAGATATAAGCCAAAATGTGTGATTTTTTTACGAACAAAATGGCTACCAGGCAACCATCTTGAATTGAATTATGACATACATGTAATCAACTTTCCTTGATATGGTAGAACACAATCCATATTCTTTGAATTTTTATGAAACAATACACTGCCTCTGTACCAAATCTGAATAAACTATGAAAAATATGTATTTTTGACAAACAAAATGTCTGCCAATCAGCCAGTTCAAACAAATTTGAAATGCATGTATAATGGATGAGCTTCAGTATGCTACAATATGTCACCCATATTCTAAGTTTACAGTAGAGTTTTTAATGTTAAAAAACGTCTGGAATAAATTTTATGTGAAAAAAAGTTGTGAAAAGAAATATTAGTAATGAGTGACAAAATTGACAATAGTATTAGGTAGAAGAGTATTTCACTGGTGAACAGTTGGTGATATTAACTAATTAATATTCACAGCAACAAATATAACTATTTTGTGGCGAATGACTAAAGTTAAAAGTGGTGGTCAATGGGTCAAACAATTTTCACACAAGGAAGGAGATTATTAAATGTGATATACAAAGTGATTCTCACCTGTTGAAGATTATCAGCCATGAACACAAAATAAACACAACAGAAACCAAGCTGAGTTAAAATTAGAAATGCATTAACCAGTCTCCTGGAACAAAATAAAAACACAATTTCATTTCACTTCAAATTTATTTTTTAATATCACAAATGAGGATGAATTACATTGTGGATTTAATTTTCCAATGATTTACGAAAATAAATTACATGCATAAATAAAATATTATTACAGTATGTCAGACGTGAATACATGTACATACATTTCAGAATAAGTTGTATATCCTACATCATGTACATACACATGTGGTGTTTACTATATTAC